ATAAATACATTTTTTCAATTTTATATCTTAGATTTAAGATGAATAAATATATTAAGTTAATTAATAATTTATTTAAAATGTTAAAATTTAATATATAAAAATAATATTTTAAAAGAGAAGGATTATAATAACACCGGTGTAACTTTTACTAAATATTACACCGCTCAATAACTTTATATTAAATGTGAATTTTATAAATTCAACCGTTAGCTTCAAAATTTTTTACTCTTAGATCATATATACAAATTTTATATTAATTCAAGAAGATTTATTACTTCATTCTTGTAAAAAAAAAATTGACGTAATATATACATTTCAAAATATACTAAAATATGAACACTTTGATTACCTTTGAGTTGTTGTTCAATTTTAACAAAATTTGATATAAACATATAAAGTTATATGAACTTTCAATCTAATGGTTAGATTTACAAAATTCACATTTAATATGAAGTTATTAAGTGATGTAATACTTAGTAAAAGTTACATCGGTGTTATTATAACCCTTCTCATTTTAAAATATGTAAATTATTATTTAAACTTTTAAACTTATAATAAATAATTTAAATTGTATCATAATATTAATTTTAAATATAAATAAGTAGATTGTTAATTATAAAAGTAAGTATATATATAAATAAAGATTAATTAAATATAATATAATTATTATTATTGGTAATATAATTATTATATATTATTATATTTTTATAACGGTTCGGACACACCGAAATGAGAGGGATCTAAAGATAGTATAAGTATGAGATGGTATAGTTGAGGATGACTTAAATGAATTAATTTGTGTTACCTATATTGACAACATGCATTTGTTATTCGGTAGGTTATCTCATCAGAACTCCACAATTAAGCGTGTTTGACTTGGAGTAATATAGGGATGGGTAACCTTTTAGGAAGTTTCCCAGAAATTGTGCAAGTAAGGACAAAACACATTGAAAAGTGAAGTTTCGTGAAATAGAATTCTTGAGAGGCCAAATATGAGGGTTGTTACATTAATAAATTTATTAAAATTAAACAAAAAATTTTCGACGGATTTATCTGTCGGAATCATATAAAGATTTTCAAACAATTTTCGACGGATGTATCCGTCAGTAACGAATGTATTCGTCAAAAATTTCTGACGGATATATCTGTCAAAAATTTTCAACGAGTTAAATTATTTTCAACAAATTTTTTTTCTCGACAGATTTGCATCCGTCAAAAATAGAGAATTTTTTTACAGATATTCCTTTTTACCGATGGATTATGTCCGTCGAAAATTTGTATTTTTCTTGTAGTAATTAATATATAATCATTGTATTGAATCTTGAATTGTTTGTTTGATAAGATTTCGATTGACTAAATTTGTTGTTGTTCTCTAGATGCATACTTGATTGTGGTGAATTTGTTGTCACCACTTTCATTTTGTGTACTTAGAGACCAATGTGAAATGTTGTTGAAATTTATCAAATTTAATGGAGTTTACCTTTATGTATTAATCAAGTATAAAGAATTATCTTTCTAAATGGTTAGAGCCACACCTTATATTAAAATGTGAGGTTGATACGGTTTATGTCAAATAAACGCACCAATGGACCAAAGCTGAATGAATTGTTCTACGATCCTTGTGTGAATTGTTTCAATTTACAAAGACACCTAGTAGACATTATATGAAAGCATGTTTTATGTGATGGGTTCCTCAAAAGCTACATAGTATGACATGACATAGTGAATTGTTAGATATGTCACGCATACAAGTGTGTCAAACACAAAAAGAACAAGTCGATTTAGAGATAGACGATTGGCTAGAGGACATGATCTATGATGTTGAGGTTGATTTTTTCAAATGCACATACATGTATGATAGTTTGTGCAATAATGTAGAGAAACCATTGTATCCAAATTGCTCTAATTTTATACAATTGTCTACTGTGTTAAGATTATTCATTCATAAAGCAAAAAATGGATAGACTAATAAAAGTTTCACATAATTGCTTGAAAATAACCAACATAGAATGTCTTCTGCATAATAATGCTTGTTTCACAAATGATATGGGTGTAACCCGCTAAGAGGGCACATTAAAGATCATGATAGATTACATGAAGTTTCATATTAATGTTCATAGAAAAGCAACGACGAGTTATGAAAGAGACCACTACACCAAAATGGGTGTTTATCTTGATGAATGAATCAACTAGAGATGTCCAATGAACAAGACATGATTGTTTTGGACTAGTAATGATAGATCCCTTGTTATTGACATTAAGAAGTTACTTGATCTAGTTGTAGGATAACCAAACGAGATAGTCGTGATCCTCAAAATTAGATGCATTAAGAGCTCTCCAAATGAACCAACATGCAACAACAAACAGTTATCCATGCTTACTGATGATTTTATGGTGTAACCATGTAGCTGTTGCATCTAAAATATGCTTAAAGGCAAACGTACCTTACCACCTAAAGAACGTTGGACTATGATGGGTTTCTTGAGCGACGGCTCAAGACTAGCTTCGTTCTTCACTTCATCTTTCTTCCTCTTCAAACTTGGAAGATGATGAGCGATTCTCATGTGCTTAGGCAAAGTCGTGTCAAGAAATTATGAGGTTTAAGTTAAATTTTAAGTTTGAATTTTATTTTATTTTATTTTTTGTCTAAGAATATAATCTATTTAGTGTCTCAAAACTAATAAGCAAATACTATTAGACGTGATTTTATAACTAGTAAAATTATTAATTAAAATTTGATAATCAAGTTATTTGAAAATATTACTTTATAGTTATTCATTTAATCATTACTAAATATTATTATTACAAGTAATTTGATACTTGTGTTCTTTAACTAATGACTAGAGTTTGATTCTCAGTTTGAGCATAAAGTCATCATTGAAAGTACTACCTTATTCTTATAGGGGTTGACCTAATTAATGAGAATGTTATACTTCCTTATTTAAAAATTGATTATCACATAATGTGTAAATATATATATATATATATATATATATATATATATATAATTGATACTAAATTAAATATATATCAAGTTTTACTTTTAATATTTTTATTATAACAAAAATCATAAGTATTATTAATAATATTTTATAAAGAGGACATGTATTAAAATGAAATATTTTTTTCAATATAATTCAACAATTTTTTAATATATAGGGAAAAAAATAAAGATCACTAATATAAAATTAATAATCATTTGAACTTAAATTTATTTCAAAACTAATATAATTTTTTTTTCAATTCATTTTCCTTTAAAGTTATTAATTTTAGGGATTCAAAAAATTAAATTTAAATTAATTTTATATTTTAATTTTTTCAATAAGTTGTGATTGAAAAATAAATTAATGGGATATGTATTCAAAATAATCAAAATTAAAAATAATTAATCTTTAATTAAATATATGAATTTATCACTTACATTTTTATTAAAATATTTAGTAATTAGAGGTTGTAATATATTGTGAAGTTAACCGTATCTACTAAAACCATATAATCGAAAGGTCATTGATAAACCCTTGGAATTTTAGGATTTGTGGTGATGAAAACCCTATGAGAGCTTGGATAATTGAAGATGGTTCCTAATTTGTCAAAATATACTGTGGAAACATCTGTAGTTCAAGATTGTCATCATCAACATAAAGTATGAGAAATTTTGGAGGGGATTACTTACGACCCACAAAATAATTCTCATCATAGAAGTAGTAGAGGCCTTCTGCACAGGGCTCTTGAAGTTGGCTTGAAGAGAAATGTTTTCACCTCATGAATCTCGGATAATTGAGCTTCTCGACAATGGTGAGGGTATCCTCCAATTTTTAAAGAAAGTAGCTTTTAAGAGGCATGGTAAGACTATAAAAGCACCAAAATGTTAAGAAGTAACATTAACAATAGGAAATAAAGGAAGACTAGGTTAATGAAAATAAAGATTCTTCATTCTTTATATCTGATCGGTACAATTCAAACAAATAAATAGGAAAAATAGCTAATTGTCAAAAGATCTACTCCCTTGAAAGAAAAAAATCAAGACTTTAGGGAAAACAAAAGTACAAGGAAACAAGCCCATGTAAAAGGGAATAGCTAGGCTCAACAACTAGTAATAATTAGATAATCATATTAGAGTTTTCTTGTCATGTTTGGGTATCTTTTGAATTGGATTCAACGTTTGAATTTTCCTGGAACGTCCCTTTCCCTCGTTTTTTGTTGTTGCTGTCTGTTTCGTGTATTTCCCATGTTAGCGCCTCACATTTGCTTTCTAACGTTCATCACTTATAAGATTTCAGAAAAATAGTAAAAACTTTTAATGAATGTGAGAATCAAGCCAGATTAGTTTGAACGTTAAGAAGTTAAGTTACGAATGAACTAATTTTACAAGCCGTCATAGTTTGACTTAAATTAATTATATAGTATATTATTTAGTTGTTTATATAAAATATTAGTTGACTTAAATAATTATAATACATTTTAATTTAAAATATATATATATATATAATTATATTAATTTATGTGATTTAATTAGTCTATAATTCAATTATTTTATTATAATTATATTAGTCATACAAATTGTTTTTGAACTTCTTTAAGATATATAGAATGAATTTTATTAAAATTTATAGATATAAAATACATATGACATAAATATTATTTTAAAAAATTAATAAAAATTAATTCATACGATTCAATTAATGATTCATTAATTTAATCTTTAATTCACTAATTTAATATTCTGACTAGATGGATAATCAATTCGATTTTTTAAGCATCAGTTAAAATTACATTTTTATTTTTAACTAATATGGATGTATGAATTTATTGCAGAAAGTGAGATCAGCCTCCTATAAGATAATTAACACGTCATTTCCTTTAAAAACTTATCATGGATGAAAATGTACAAGTGAAAAGGTGATAAAAAAAATTGCAACTTAAAATTACAATAAAAGTTATCATGGGTGAAAATGTACAGGTGAAAAGGTGATAAAACAAAAATTTCAACTTAAAATTATAATTGTAAGCCCAAGATTATATAATACAAATGGAAAAGTTTTCAAAATTAAAAAAATATATGGAAACTAATATTTATGGATGTGGTGACGTAGAAGCTGACTGTTGTTGCTGAACAACCAAAATGGATGCTCTAGTCTCCGTATCTGGTGAAGCAAGCAAATCACCAATGACCCCCAACTCCGAATGTTCAGTCCAATTTTCCAACCCAGAAGTCTGAGAAGTTCTCAACTCATTGCGTCTCCCAACTATGATAAAATCAAAATTGTTTGCTAGTTCTTTGACGAAAAACATTGTCTCTGATGCATCATCTATAGTCCTCTCTTCATATGTCACATTTTCATGTTGTACATAAGTTCCACAAACCTTCCTTAACTCCTCATCATCAATCATTTGTTCCCAATCCGATGCATCACGGTCACGTGCTAGCAACCTATACACAAACAACCTATTTTCAACATTTTTGGCAAATCTCTTAGCCAAATACAAAGCTTCTATATCATCAGGTCCACCAAAGAAGATCAAAGCCACATTGTAACACGCAGAGACGTTGATGCCAGAAGGGCCACGGTTGACTAGAATCCCAATTGAGCAAGGTGCCCTTTCCAAAACCTTTGAATTCAGTGCCCTTATGTCGTCGTCTCGTGACTCTATAGAACCATCCCCTCCCCATTTCACGTGAAATGGAAGGATTATTAGGGCTGCGTTTTTGTCCAAAGCAAGGTTACAAACATCTTCATGCATTAGTGTCACTGGTGATATGGCTGTGTAGGTGTTGGCTGTGGCGGAACCAACATGGTCACGTTCGAAAAGGTCGAAGGTCACGATGAGTTCCCCGGAGTAGTTGTAGGATGATGATGAATCTACACTGTGCTGAAGCTTGTGTGCAATGAAAATAGGTGTGGACCTTCCAACTAGCTCCATGAGATGAACTATCTCAGCCACTAGTGTGTTCTCTGGTCTAGGGGCGCAAAGCTGGAGAACGTTCTTGATGTGATTCGTGTGACATGGCTTGTGGATGCATGCAACAACCCGAAGCTCGCAGTTCTCTTTCAAGCTCATGATGTTCCTTTCCTGATATCCTGCGTATTTCCTTGAAGGGTCATACAATGCCTTCACACCAAACCTAGAAGTTGTTCCTAGGATCAGCACCGAGACGATCATAACAGCTACTATTCGTTTACTTTGTGCCTGCAAGTGTCCCAAAAAGCCTATTGAAAAACGTTTTACTAACATAGCATTTGACTAAGATAAGGTAAGTGCAACACCATAGCTACCTATGTTGTTGTTCTCAAATCAAATCAGATGATACCTTTATCGAATCAGAATTGAAATTTTACTTTGATAATATGTGTAAATGCATAATTTATCCATACTTGAGTTAAGTATAAATGCATATTAATGAAATCACTAGAGTTAGTCTAGTAGTTGGATAAGCAAAAAATAAAATAGTTAAAAGTATGAAGATCTAGTTTCAATCTTTGGTATAATTATCTTTGTAATTTTTTCTATCTTAAAAAAAAAAATGCATGTTAATGAAGTAAAACAATGAATTTGAGAACCACACCAACAGTACTTATGGTATTGTATCTAAGTTTTGTTTAGTTCAATAGTTACCATTGCGTCGTAGACAATGGTATAGGAGCAGATATCAACAAGACCTTTGCAACTCATAATGAGAGCAAGGCAGAAGCCATCCCTGGAGGGCATTTTGCAGTAGCGGCAAATTCCCATGCACAAAATCAACTTAACCAAGTGGACCATAACGATGAAGCCGGTTGTGACGAGAAAGAGGGTGAGAGAGTCGCATTGAGTAAGATCCACCTTCATGATACAACATGTGACAAAAATTGAGGAGAGAAACGTGGAGAATAACTCAAGTTGGTTAACCAATTCGGACCCTAAAGGAGGACCTTCAGGGACAGCTAGGCCAAATATAACAGCTGCTGCGAAGAAGGGTTGTCTGAAAAACCGTGCAAAGTATCCCAATGCACAGACCACCATTATGATGATGCAGATATATACCTTCTTCACGGATCTACCTTCTGGGGTTCTCTTCACTACCCACATCATCGCTGGACGCCCAATCAGTGGAACAAAGATTAAGTAAGCAAGAAAAACCGCCACGTTTTCAATACGGTAACCTACTCCTTTGCTCTCGCTTATAATGGCAGTGCCAATTCCTGCCATGATTCCACCTGATGAAGGACCCACAAGTCACATATAAGCAAGAAGAGAAAATCAATTAAACAAAATTTAGCATGAATGAGAGAAATTCTATGTTACCAAGACCAATAGTTGCATGAGTTCTCATTTAACAAAGTCGTATAAATTGGAGAAAAATGCTAGTAGCTATACTCATTCTAACCATCTTTTGTTAGTATTCTATCTACTTTTAAAAAAGAAAAATTACAAGTTTTGGTACATCATACTACTAAATAGGGAGCACCCATTAAATGAAGACAAAATTTGTAATTTTTAATAAATTTTAGCTAAAGAAGTCTTAAAAAAGTATGATTAACATTTCTCTAAAGAGGAATTCACACAAATTTAATATTTTTAAAACGTGATTTAGACACAATATATTTCCACAAAACTTCATGTAATTTAAAATTTTATATTGGATATGTTCAATATTTAACATGAAAAGTTACATATGTTAAAAATCTTACACCAATTAGTAATATAGTCAAAATAGTTTATATAAATAAAAAACAATCTTTATTTTATAAACTAATTTTGTATGAATAAATTAAGTTCAATCTCATGTTCTTAACAATAGAATCCTTCAAAATTGATTGGCTTGTAGGTAAGAATTATCGTGTATTTTTTAATCATGATATTAATATGAATTATCTAATATCATCTGTCAAAGACTATAAGTGCATATAAAATAGGTACTCTCTTATCAAAATAGTCTATTTCACAACCAAAATCGATATTCAAATTCTGAAAAATTTAGTTAAGAGACACAAGTAATTACCACTATTATACTAACTAATATTGATTTTGTGTGTATATATATACACTATGTTAACCTTTTTCCTGCTAGACATGAGATTTCAAACAACTAGAAAGATTACTGAAAGTGCTTTTGGGTAATGAGTTTACCTGAGAGGTCGCTAACAAAAGTTGCGGAGAGTGCAAGGCGTCCGAGTTCAGAGTTGAGGATTCCGAGGTCGTTGAGCAAGACTGTAACAACAGCAAAGGAACAACCACTGCTAGAAATGAAGACGACGGGCAAGTTATAGACATCCTCTGAGAGGAGGCCATAGAAGGCTTGAAAGAAGATTTTCCGGAAGACATAGCCAACAAATATGGGAATGAAATAGGAGGAGAGTGCGAGGACCCAAGCCTTCTTCCCTGTTTTTGTGATCAAACTTAGGTCCATTTTCACTGAGTTTACGAAGAGGAAGAATGAGTACCCCATCGCTGAGACTGTGCTAAGGATGTCTGGACTCCCAAATGGGAACAACATCTGCTTGTACTTTTCCAATGGTCCTGTGGGAATTGATGGCCCTAGAAGAAAACCAGCCTGGAACAAATGCAAATTTGGCTTTAATTGGATAATAAACTTCACTTCATAGATATTCTTATATATCAATGCACACACTAATGTAAAATCTTGATAATGCTGTGATGCATATGTTTGTTTTCTTATATTTCAACATGGTAGTAACAAACTGGTTGGATGGTAAATACTTCGAACGTGTACGCAAAATTAAAAAATCTAACCTTTGTTCATCATAAAAATTTGACCTATTTTTTCAGTTTTAAAATACAAATTAAATTATATAAATAGAATAAAGTAGTTTGATTTAGTCTAACTAATAGGCCAATAAGTCAAGCTGCGTAAAGAAAAATACGACCTGTAAAAAAATCGAGTCAGGTGAGTCACTTATCACCTTTTGACAACTTTAAAGATTGCTAGCATGTAATAGTAGCTAAATTTTTAATAGTTAATTTATGACACATTAAATATGTTAAAAATTTAAAATATAAATAATTTTTAAATAGTTTTGATTTTAATATTTTTTTTTAAAAAAAGAATCACCATCATGTTTAGTGATGACATGGCATGCCACTAATCGATCAAGTTAAGATGAAATGTAAGATAACATGTCTATGAGCACATCAATAATTATTTTTCTTTTTTTGTTTGCACTAGAAATCTTTTCTGTTTAAGAGTGGAAAATTATTCTTTTAGAGACATAAACATTACAGAAGTGAGTTTTAATCCTCCAAATAATTTGTTTTACACGCACGTAATTAGAAATAAAAACTCCTAACAATATTATTAAAAAAAACTTGATTATTTCTTAATTATGTTGGACCTTATTACTTTATCATATCATTATTAAGGAGTGATCCATATAACTATTGAAAATTTAAAATGTATGAGAATCAAAACTAACACATTCAAGATAACTTATTTATAAGAATTCAAATTAAAATTCACCATATTTGTATCAAGTTAAAATATATTAAACCCATTCGAGACAACTTATTTACAGACACATTGGAAAAAGGGGGGAAATATGAAACCTCTTATAAGTACTATTTTTAAAAACTAAACGTTTTTTTTTTTTATCAAATTTTGAAACTGTCCAACTATAAAAAAAATGTGAAAATTTTCTTTAATTCAGACTATGCAAAGGGTTATTTTAATTTCCTTAAAAAGCACAACATTATCACATGTTATTACAGGGTTTATGCATGCAGAAAAGTGAAGACGTTCTCCATTTCGACATAATAACATTGCACAATCACAAAACTCAAACGAGGCTAGGAATTAATTAATGAGAAATTTTGAAACTATATATCAAAACTAAGAATAATGACCATATAGAAATTAAAAGACACATACCATTACTTGTGAAACGAAATAAGGGATCCCAATGCGCTTGAGAAAGAAATGAAAGCCCTGCGTGACGGCGAAAATGATAACTATTTGCAGCTCAAGCATGGTGAACGCAGATTTTGAAGGAATTGATCCAATGTGGTTATGACCAGACCATATACCATCAGAAATTATCGTCATTGGCTGATCAAGGCACACGTTGTAGACATCTTGTCTCATTTTAGGTATGTCATACATGAACGTGGCTGAAGAGAAGATTGTTCCGTTCGAATTCATCTTGGTCTCACCTATAGAAAGAGTTGAACAAGGCAACAAAAGTTGATGAAATAATTAATTACAATCGATGGAAAGAAAAGGAAGTGTAATAGATAGGAAGAGATCTAGAATTAGGGTTTTTATTACCAACTAGATACAGGGAAACACCATGGTACAACACATTTGCTTACGTGTGGCACACTAATTTGTTAGCTTCGCCATCTAGAAAAACAACTGGTCAACGCTTTTCTTCATGACAGATCATTTTTTTATATATATCCCTTTTGCTTGTTTGTTTCGGGTGTCATTTTTCTTTGCATCGGACTTTTTTTTAATTATGTTTTTAATTAGGAGTTTTTTTATATAAGCGTGTTAACGGGTGTTAAAATAAAATATTATTGCATGAAAAAATTGGTCGTTATATACAGTGAAATAAAATGAAAAGGGTTGATGATCATAAAATGGAAATGAAATTAAGAAATATTAATGTTAGTATTTATTTGTATTTTTGGGACTATGGCTATGCCCCTCTTATATATTACCGGGACCGTTTGCTAACAGCATATGCAAGAAACCCCCATCTGACATGGACGATCTGAGACGCCGCGCCGATAAATACATGCAGATGGAGGAACTCGCGGAATTTCGCAATTAGGCCAGGGCAGAGGTGTTTCGTAATTGTTGTTAAATTATTTACGTCGGACCCTACTAGGACCGACGTAAATAATCCACATGACCGCCCCTTAAAAGAAGGTCACTAGCTGGAGATTTGGAGATTTCAAAAACTTCCTTCTCCCGTGCGTTGTGTAATGGAGGCCACACGCGAGAAATCCCTCCGCCTCCTACTCCTTCCTTCCTTATAATTTTTCTGACATTTCAGTCTCCATTCATACGGAAAATGGGTGAGGAAGCATAACAGGTGATATAACCTTTCTGTTGACATTGTGATTTCCTAGTGAAACTTTTTTTCTTGCTGATAGTGTTATAACTTGGTCTACATTAATTAGATCTTGTACTTATTATGTGTGTTCCTTTTTATATTTTGAGTAGGAACAACCAGTGGCTGAAGCCAAGCCTGAGGAGAACAGAGAAGAGAAGCCAGAGGAAAAACCAGCAGAGGAAAATAAGGAGGAGGAAAAGCCAGAAGAAAAGCCAAGTCCAGGTTGTAGAACGGGCCGTTCTGCTTGGACAACAGGCCGTTCTCCAACCAGAACGGCCCGTTCTGCTTGCATTCATTTTTTATTATTTTTTAAAAGTTTTTTACAATGTTTTACGTCGGACTTGTTATGTCCGACATAAATTTACGTCAGTTTTTCACAATCGACGTAAATTTACGTCTCTCGCTTCCACGTTGGAGGTTTTTTCGATGTAAAACCCCTAAAATAACCGACGTAGAATATAATGTATATTCTGTACTAGTGAAATCAATTATTTGATCGATTTTAAAAGAATCAATTTTATAAATTTAGGCTTTTAAAATCAGGTAAGAACTGATTTTAAAAGTATATTTTTAAATGTTATTGTATAACAAAAAATAACTAATTTAAAAGTTTTGCATCTCCTCCACCAACCCTATTATCTCCTTCTTCTTCGTCTACGCCTCTTCTATCTTTTCCTAGAGCAATACATGTTCTTGATTGTGACAAAATATCAAACATTTGATATGTATATAACGTAAAAGCTAAAAACCAAACCCCAAACAACCAATTAATTAAATCAAACAACATATTCAACCAATTCAAATTAACCTATATGTTATACAACAACCAAGTACATAATCAAGAATCAATAGGGGTAGCGACAAAAGAAACACTTACTAGTAGAGATAGTGAATGCACGATGGTGGGAGAGAACATGAGAGAGAAAGTGAATGAGAATGTAGGAGAGAACATGAGAGACAACTACATGACAGTACGTGGTCCTGGATGGCAATAGTACAACAATTTCCAAATGACAAGAGAAGAGAGAGCGTGAGAGAGAAAGAGAGTTTTTCGAAGGATAAAAACACTAAGTGAGGAGGTGAAGCACAAAAGATGTCATTTTAATTAATTTCCTTTCTAAATTTTTACAAAAAAATAGTCTTGGGAGATTCATATAAATATATACTAAATTGGTTTTTGTAATATTTTTAAATTAGTTTATATGACAGAAAAATGTCTTGAGTGATTGACTGATTTGGGAAATGTCGCAATAGTATATGGGGACCAAATTAGCGACCGAAAAAAGGTCGCTAAATCGGTCGCTAAATATATTATTTATTTTTAAATTTTTAAATAATTATTTTCCTTTCCGTCGCTAAGTCGAATACCACATTCACCTACCCTTTTGGTACTTTTGCCTACAGGAGGATGCCTTTTGGCCTACGCAATGCGCCTGGCACATTCCAGCGGTGCATGCTCAGTATTTTTAGTAATTTTCTTGAAAATTGCATAGAGGTGTTTATGGATGATTAGACTGTTTATGGATCCTCTTTTGATGCATGTTTGGATAGTTTGGATCGAGTTCTGAATAGATGTATTGAGACTAAACTTGTTCTTAATTTTGAGAAATGTCATTTCATGGTTGAGCAAGGTATAGTCCTAGGGCATATCATTTCTAGTAAGAGCATTGAGGTAAACCCTGCAAAGATATATGTTATTGCACAATTGCCTTACCCTTCTTGCGTGCGAGAGGTGCGATCTTTTCTTGTCCATGCAGGTTTCTACAGGTGCTTCATTAAGGACTTTAGCAAGAAAGCCCTTCCAGTATCTAGCTTGTTGCAAAAGGATATTGATTTTAATTTTGATGACAGATGCATGGAGGCGTTTGATTGCCTCAAGAGAGTCTTGACTACCACTCTTATCATTAAGGCACCAGACTCGACAGTTCCCTTTGAGCTAATGTGCGATGCTTCAAATTATGCACTAGGGGCTGTCTTAGCACAGAGGGTTGACAGATTGCCTAGGGTGATATACTATGCTTCCAAGACATTAGATGTTGCTCAAGCAAATTACACAACCATGGAAAATGAACTTTTAGCAATTGTTTTTGCACTTGATAAATTTCGATCATATTTGCTTGGTTCTCATGTCATTATTTTTATAGATCATGCAGCTCTAAAGTACTTGTTGAAGAAGGTTGATTCAAAGCCTACGTTGATTAGATGGATGCTCTGGCTTCAAGAGTTTGACTTGGACATCTGTGACAGGAGTAGAGCACAAAACTTAGTGGTAGACCATATCAGTAGGATTGAGAGAGCTGAGGAAGAGGACACTTTGGCCATTCAAGATGATTTTCCTAATGAAAATTTGTTAATTGTTTCTATTCCTTCCCCTACCCCTTGGTTTGCAAACATTGTAAATTATTTAGTTGCTTGTATTTTCCCTCCTTTGGCATCTAGAGATCAAATTGATAAACTTAAGAGCGATGCTAAACACTATGTTTGGGATGACCCCTATTTGTGGAATTTGTGCAGTGATCAGGTAATCAGGAGATGCTTGCTAGACTACGAGATTGATTCGGTCCTGCAATTTTGTCATTCTTCTGCACTTGGTGGTTATCTTGGCATTTAAAGGACACCTCATAAGGTGCTTGGTTGTGGTTTCTACTGGCCCACCATCTTCAAGGATGCATGGAAGATTTGTAGCACCTATGAGCAGTGTCAAAGAGCAAGAGAATCCCTTTCTTGGAGATAGTAGATGCCTCAGTAACCCAAGTTATTTTGTGAGGTCTTTGATGTCTAGGGTATAGATTTCATGGGCCATTTTCCTGTTTCTTTTATTTTTTCATATATTCTTTTGGCTATTGATTATGTTTCAAAATAGGTGGAAGCCAAAGCCACCATAACTATTAATGCTCGGGTTGTTGTGGATTTTGTCAGATTTAACATATTTTACAGGTTTGGAGTACCTAGAGCTATTGTTAGTGATTAGGGCACCCATTTTTGTAACAGATCCATGCAGGCCTTGCTCAGGAAGTATGGGGTTGTTCATAGAATTTCTACACTCTACCACCCCCAAACTAATGGGCAAGCCGAGATTTCAAATAGGGAGATCAAGAGGAACTTGTAGAAGATTATATAGCCCAACAGGAAAGATTTGAGCAGCAGGCTAGAGCATGTCATCTTCTTGTGGAGATAGAGCACCGAGCCTATTGGGTTGTGAAGACCTGCAACTTCTCTATTGATTAGGCTAGAGAGGAAAGAAAGTTGTAACTGAGTGAGCTTGATGAGATCCGCCTGGAAGCCTATGAGAAATATAAATTCTATAAGGAGAAAACCAAGAAGTTCCATGATAGTTTGATAGCTAGAAAGGACTTCACGGTTAGGAAAAAAGTTTTACTGTATAATTCAAGGCTTGGTCTCATGGGTGGTAAGTTACGTTCTAAGTGGATTGGACACTTTGTTGTTACTAATGTTTTTCCTTATGGTACAGTTGAGATCAAAAGTGAATCCATAGACAAGAGTTTCAAAGTTAATGGGCACTGACTGAAGCCTTTCCTCAATAATCCTTTCCTGTTAAATGTAGTTGTAGAGGAGATGTCTTTCCTCGACCCCACTTCTCTCCCACCGCCATGACTTAGGGAGTTTTCTTTCCCCTTCTCCTTCTTTACTTTTATTACACATGTCCAATTCTGTTGATTGTTCTGATTGCTCTGATCTTATGTGTGTGCCACATTAGGACAATGTGTGATTTAAGTGTAGGGGCAAACTGTTTTGGTTATATGCTTTTAGGGTTTATTTTTTATTTTTGGTTTAGGCTTTATGTTTAGGTGTTATGTACAGTTTTGTTTGTTTTTCTTTGATTTTTGGGTTTTGATAGTTTGTAAGCACTTGTTTCACTCTTGGATATGAGTTACTTGATATTCTATGGATTGAAATCCCTATCTTTCTCTGCTTGGCAAGTTGATTATGAGGTTTGAGAGGTTGAATTGAATGTGACATATTTACCCTGTGTGAGGTTTTGACTCTTTGTTCTTTCTTGTGTTTTTTTCCTCTTGATTGCTTGCACAATATCCTTGGCTTGAATCTGTTTGATATTTCT